CAACGATCCACCTGGCTCTGGAGAGAGCTGCAGGCCATATCTTCAGAACCTACTCCTCAAAGAACCTTTTCCTCAAGTCTCCAATTGATTTATTCTTTCCTTCCTTGGTTCAAGGACTGGATTAGAGACTACGTTATTTTTGTAGGAAAAGCTTTGGAATGATGTTCTGAAAGTTTTAACATCTACAGTGTTTCTGAATCTTACTATCTAATTAGAATAATTTAAGTAATAATTTAAGTATTTGAGATCTCATTTTGTTTTTTGCACTTTTTCTCCATCTGGGGATATGAACCCATTATTATAGATCTGGAAGCAAGCAGTAGTTTTTAAAATTACTTAAAGGGACAGGCATGGTGGTGCATGCCTTTAATCTAGCACTCGAGAGACAGAGGCAGGCAGATCTCTGTGAGATTGAGACCAACCTGGTATGTATAGCGAGTTCCAGGTCAGATGGGGCTACAGGGAGACCCTGTCTCAAAAAGACAAAAAAAATTACTTAAAGGAATTAAAATACTTTAAGGTAATTACAAACTTCAGAAAAGGAAAGTGTGATAATTAAGATATAATCTTGATATATTGCATTGTTCAGTATTGAATAGTAATTACCCGCTCAAAATAATTTAAATACTGAGTATTAATTTCAGGTATAATTTTGATAGAACTCTTAAATAGAAGATGTAGAGAAATGGCTAAGAAAAGCTAAATTCTAACATAATAGGAGGCTAATAGGCATAACTTCAAACATTTCTACATCAGTGTATTTAGAAATCTTGAGCAAAAGTTTGAAAGTGGTTGCCATTTTTAGGCCTTTTTTTTTGAAGTAAAAACTTGATTTTATTAACATTAGTAGAGAATATGTTCTAGAAAGTGGAGGTAACTGGACATAAAATTCTGGCAGCAATTTAATAGAACAGTCCCAGATGGTTAGCTGAGGCCAACATCTAATGAGGACGAAAGCCTTGTCTTTGGGGAATTTTGGACGAAACTTGCAGAAATATTATACTGTGCATAAACCAAACTGAATTGTCTTCACAAGAATTGTAAAGTTTCATATAGGAAAAGGTTTTTTCTACATGCACTTCAATTTCACAGCAAGAGTGGCATAGAATACCTAAACACAGAAGAGAGCATTCATGCAAGATATCTAACTCCTTGATATAATAATGCATACACTTCTTTCTGCGTTTTTTTCTTCTTCATTTTTCTTAATCAACTCTGCTGTTGCTGCTGCTTAGCAAAACTGGTAAAAACAAAATTGTAATCACTGAGCATAGCGCTCTGACAGTCAAGACGTTTAAAACCTTCAGTGTTCTGGGGTGAAGAAAGCACTGTGCACACTTAGAACTCTGATTAACAAACAAGGTGGTCACAAATTTTCCTGGCTTGAAGACTTCCACAACTTTCCTGATCAGGTCACCATAGGAGGTCTGGCTTAGGTTTGTTTCAAAGCTAATATAAGAAAATTCTGGTTCTGGAGTGATGTGAATAGTCCAATAAATTCCATCCAATTTAATTCCATTCATCGAGTAGCCACAAGGATTGAACAGTGTGGCATTAATGACGGAACCTAGTATCAGGTCACGAATTCCACTCTCACGAGTGACATCCTTTGCAGTAACACCATCTTTCATGTAGAACTCGTCCATAACTGCTGGGTCATGCTCACTCAGAATTTCCAGGGTTTGATCTAGCTGGTTGATTACTCAGCTCTCTGGGAAATCCAAAGTATACAAGTACCGACAGTCAGAATTCATACGTCCCATATAATATGCTGCTCCATTTGGGAAAATTGCATTAAGAAACTCTATTTCTTCCTGGAAGTTCCGGTGTGGGTACCCTTGGTGAGAAGACTTCATGAAATTCTTACGAGAATAAAAGAAGCTTTGAATTGAGTCAAACCCACTGTAATCCCTAGCAAGCTTCAACAGGGGCACCAGTGCTTTCAGTAAGAGGGTGGTACCACATGTCTTCAAAATGAAACATCTCTTGGAGACAAACATGCTACTCACTGAGTACATAGCTTCCTGATTGTCAGTTTTTGTCACACATGATTAAACATTGCACATCCTTCAAAAGGACATCCCACTCAGATCTTGGAATTGTGCGAAGATTCCCAGATCCCTGGCTTGCGTCGGACTGCTGCCTGGAGAACCAAACTTCCAGCAGCTTCTCGGTCCCTTCAAAAAAATGAGCAGCTTCCATCACCGTGAGACTAGTGAACAACCACAGAAAATCACTAAATTAAATCTCTTCTCCTGCCATTCCCACCGCCGCTGCGGGTTGTTCCAGCAGTGTTACTAAAGTTCAGGTTCCTTTTTGCTACAATTTTGTATTAACTTTTTTTAAAAAAAGGACTAATAAAATTTTCCTGGCTATTTTTGTGAGCGAAAGTTGAACATGAGTCTGTTGGAAATAGAGGCAGATACAGTTCAGTCTCTTGTAGTCCACTGCTTTCCCGAGAGAGAGTTGAGCGAGCGCTAGCTAATGTCGCCGGCCATACTGTGTAAGCCAGGCCTTTTTTTTTGAGAGAGGAAGGACCTCATGTATTCCAGGCTGGCTTTGAATTTGCTAAATAGCTGAGGATACCCTAAAACTTCTGATTCTCCCACCTCCTGAGTGCTGAGATTATAGGCATGTACTACCACACTATGATTATGAAGTTCATTTCTTTCTCTCTGGAAACAGGGCTTCACTGTGTAGCCCAGCTGGCTTGGAACTCACTGTGTAGACTAGGTTGGCCTCAAACTCACAGAGATCTGCCTGCTCCTGCCTTTGTGCTGGGATGAAGGGCATGTACCACCATGCCTTGTACCTTGCCTGCCCCCTCTCCCTCCTTCATTTCCTTTTTCTCTTTCATTTCCTCTCTTCCTCCTCTCCTCCCTCTCGTCCTCCCTCCCTCCTGCTCTTCTTCTAGGGCCTCATGCATGCTTGGCAAGCAATCTACCACTGAGCTATATCCCCAACAGGCCTAATTTTAAAAATAACAAGAATAATTAACATTTAAATTGTGTGTGCAGGTACTCTTGGAGGCCAGAATAGGGCATTGGATCCTCTGGAACTGAAATCAAGATAGTTGTGAACTGGTTGGATGTTGTAAACCAAATTTGGGTGCTCTGGACAAGAAGCAAGGGTTCTCAACAAATGAGTCATCTCTCCAACCCCTTAGCTTTGATTAACATAGAAAACAAATTATAAAATTAAGTAGTCTAAAAGACAGAACATATACCCACTTAAAAAGGGGATGAGGAACTAGAGAGATGACTCATCAATTAAGAGCACTGACTGCTCTTGCAAAGGACTTGGGTACGTATCCCAGCACTCATATGGTGGCTAACAAGCATCCCTAACTCGTTTCAGATGATCCTACACCCTCTTCTAACTTCTATGGGCACTGCACAACACAGGTGCACTTACATACATGCAGGCAAAACACATACACATAAAATAATAAACAAAAGTTTAAAAAAAAGGCAGGGGTTAGAGATGGTGTCATATATGTGCAGAAGAAAAATGCCTAGGGGCTGGGGAGATGGCTTAGCCTAAGGTCTTGTGTTCAGATTCCCAGAATCACATAAAAGTCAGATGAGCTAGCACATGTCTGCAGTTTCAGCACTCCTACAGAGAAATGGGAGATGGAGACAGGATGCTCCCCAGAAACTTGTGCCATTTAGCTTCGACTACAAAACAGTCAACAAGAGACTCTGTCTCAAATAAGGTAGAAGGTGAGGACAAATATCCAAAGTTGTACTCTGAGCTCTACAAGTGCCTTGTGGCTAACATGTGCTTGTCCATTTACATAAATATACACAAAGACACATGTGCACACATACAGAGAGATAAAAATAAGAATAAAATTTAAAAAATGCCTGGTTGTAGCTTTTAGGGGAGGGGTTTGAGACAGTGTCTCACTATGTAGCCCTGGTTGGTCTGTGTTCTACTTTGTTTCTTCATTGCAATGACAAAATACTCTGACCAATACCAACTTAGGGAAGAAAGGGTTTATTTGGCTTACATTTCCCAGGTCACAGTTCATCAGGGAGCCCAAGGTAAGAACTCGGCGCAGGCACCTGGAGGCGGGAGCTGGATTACAGGCTATGGAAGAATGCTGCTTACTGGCTTGCTCCCCTTACTCCTGCTCAGTCCGATTTCTTATACAACATAGGCCCATCTGCCCAGGGGTGGCACCACCCACAGTGGGCTGGGCCCTCCCACATCATTCAATAATCAAGAAAATGCCCCACAGACATGGCCACAGGCTAGTCCAATGGAGGCAGTTCATCAGTTGAGGCTCCCTCTACCCATATGTGTTAAGTTGACAACTAAAGCTATCCAGCACTTGCTATATAGACCAGGTGACCCATGAACTCACAGAGATCTGTCTATCTCTGCCTCTTGAGTGTTGGGAGTAGCTTTGTTTTACAAAAAATATTTCAATGAATTTAAAGAAGTATATATTGTCATGTGACCAGCTATGAGATAATAAAATTATTTTCTTTGGAAACCCCAAGACCTTATTGTGTGCTAGTGTTGTTAATTTTAATAAATTTAGTTAAAATATATTCTCTCTCTCTCTTTTTTTTTTTTTAAACAGACAGGGTCTCATGTAGCTCAGGCTGGCCTCAAACTTGCTATGTAACTAAGGTTGGTCATAATTCTTGCTCTTCACTCCTAAGTACTATGATAACAGGTGTTCCTCATCATGTCTAGCTTAGTGTTGAAGACAGCTTTGGAGCCAGCTATGTCCAGAGTCTAAAAATGTTTAAAAAGTGATGTATTTTTATTATGGAGAAGCAAGTTGAATCAAAATTTTTGTATAATCCCATGACCCACCCCCAAAAGTCATAAAATTGGCTAAATTTGTATTTCAAGAGAATATATTGAAATAAATTGCTTCACTTTTATTTTGATTATAAGCCCAGTTAAGAATTAAAACTGAAAATTTGTTTTATCTTCCCATAATTTTAATGTTTTCTCTTTTTTTCTCTTAATTTTAAAAATAGGAGACTCTTCAGCATCAAAAGGAAGCATTAGTAAAGCAACACAAAGAAGAGATGGAAGTTTTTAAAAAGCAGGTAATTTTCATAAAGATAGACAAACTGCAATTTTAAGTATTGTATTTCTTTCTTCTGCACTGAGTCTTATGACACGTGGTTCTCCACGTGCACAGGAAAGAACAGGAAAAAGGTACTGTGGAAAGTAGGAAATAAAGTTATTTTGAATTATGACTGGCAGTACTTGTAGGAGGAAGTGTGGCCTGAACAGCTAGCGCATGCGTGCTGCAAACGCGCCAAAAACATCCAGCTGAGGCAAACTTGTGTTCTGCCAAAAGACATAGAGACGGCTGACACAAAAATGGCCTGATACAGAGAGCCAATGAGGAACAGACACGTCGTATCAATGGACCAATGGGACACTGGGAAAGGGGATATAAGGGAGCCCCAGATCCGCAATAAACAAGTCTCAGCTGCTCACACTGCCTGCTTCTCACCTGACTCCCAGTGTCTGTGTCGTGACTCCATGCCAATTTTCCCCCACCCAAGGGGTGCTCAAGGGCCCCTACAACAAGTACTGTTAAGAAAATTGGAAAACTTTTTCTTGGAGATGTAGCTATAACTGTCATAAATAATTTAGTTATGTGTTCTTCCCCCCATTCTTTTGTAAATGTTTCTGAGTATCTTACCTTTTCACATTACCCTTTTACCAAAGTCATTCATAACACTGTTGAAGAGCTAAAGTGAGAGGTGGATGTGAAAGATGAGGAGAGGTGGTAAGTCACCTGCTGAAGCCTCCATGAAGAGCAGCCAGCAGTAATGGGCAAAGACTGGTAGAAAGTTAAATAAAAATAAAAGATTTGAAAGAGATGAAAGCAAAGCTTTGGTTAATTTGAATTCTGTCATCTTTGGCTCTCTCAGATTCATTTAGTTCTTAGAAAATATTACTTAAGAAAATATAGCAAGGCATGGTGGCACATGCCTTTCATCCCAGCACTTAAGAACCGGAGGCAGGGAGACCTCTGTGAGATTGAAGCCAGCCTCATCTACAGTTCCAGGCTAGCTGGGGCTACAGGGAGACTGTCTCAAAAAGACAGAAAAAAAAAAAAAGTGCTCATATGCTCACCTCCCTCTGCTTCCTTGGGCTGCACAACCTGTCAGCCTCTTTCCTGGACACTGGGGCTGACCTCTAGGCCCAGAATCACCACTGCTTCCTGATCCCTTGCATCCAGATAGACACAGTTCCTTCTCACGGTCCCCAGGAGCCCTCTGGGCCTGGTCCCCCCCTTACCTCACTCTGCTTCCCTGGGCCTGTAAAACCTGCCTGCCTCTCTCCTGGGTAAGTCCATCTGCACCCTCCAATCCTTGACTCCCCCAGCCCCATTCACCCTCCCATCTCCCTGGCCTGTCTCTCCTCCTAGCCTGGGGACTGTCCCATTCATTGTCTTGTCACCCCAGACACCAGGGGAACCACCACTGATTCCTGATCCTTTGCATGAAGTTGAACCCTCTGGGCCTCGTCCTGCCCTTACCTCCTTCTGCTTCTCTGGGCTGCACAACCCACCAGCCTCTTTCTGGGACACTGGGGCTGACCTCTAGGTCTGGAAACACCACTGCTTCCTGATCCTTTGCATCCAGACCAACCCAGTTATTCCCTGCAGTCCCCAGGAGCCCTTGGGGCCTCTTCCTGCCCCCATCTCCCTTTGCATCTCTGGGTGGCACAGCCACCAGCTGCCTGAGACAAGCATCTTTCCTAGGCCCTGCTCCCAGGCCAGTCCAACCCCCAAATTCCTGAGGGCAAAATCTTCCCTGGAGGGATCCAGACCTTAGGAGAAAGCCTGAGAGCATCTGCACCTCATCCCATTTGGGCCTCTGTGGGAACTCCTGAAGACAAAAGCAATCTGGCCACTCCAATATAAAATCAAGGGAATTCCTGAAGACAAAAGCAATCTGGCCACTCCAATATAAAATCAAAAGAGAGAACCTGAAGCTTAGAGGAACCAACTTCTCGTGCCCAAAAAGTAAACTACAAAGACACATAAAGTTCACAAAAACAAGTAGACCTAAACTTGAAGGCTTGAGTCTCACACAAGAATCAGAAACTACAAAAGAAATCCACATGTCAAAATCACAGAGAAAAAATAATAACATGAAAAACCAAAATAACATATCCCTACCAAATATCAGTAGTCCTCTAGAATGAGTACAATGAGAGTAGAGATAATGCAGGACATGGAACTCAAAAGGACAGTTATAAACATGATAAAAGAATTCAGTAAATTTAAAGAACACACAAAGAAATTAAAGAACTGAAGGATAGGGATAAACTGAATGAATTCAGAAAAGAGCTAGAAATATTGATGACTACTCAGGCTGAAATGAAGAAGGAAGTGAAACATTCAGTAAGCCAATTAGAAACGACAGGAGAAAGCCTCACCAATAGGATGAATGAAATGGAAAACAGAGTATCAAGACTGGAAGATAAAGTGGACAAACTAGACCACTCAAGCAAAGATTATGAAAAATTTAAGAAAGCACAAGAATGGAATATGCAGGAATTGTGTGACATCATAAAAAGACCAAACTTACAAATCATAGGCATACAGGAAGGGGAAGAATCCAAAGATAGTGGCATGGACAAGGTCCTCAACAGAATCTTAGAAGAAAATGTCCCAAAATTAAAGAAAGACATGCCCATACAAATATAAGAAGCATATAGAACACCAAACAGACAGGACCAGAAAAGAAACTCTCCATGGCACATCACAGTAA